GGTAGCCGAGTCAACACCCAACAAAATCTCCTTCAACGACGAGGATGCATTTCTGTTCGACCATCCCCACTCGGACGCCCTGGTGATCACGGCCCCAATAATGGCGATAAAAATCCACCGTATAATGGTCGATATCGGGGCCTACGCGAGAATCCTATACTACAACACGTTCAAGAAGATAGGGATTGACAGGAAAGAGGTGCAGCCCTGTCGAGAGCGGATCCAGGGGTTCAATGGACAAATGACGACCCCCGTTGGACAAGTGACGTTACCAATCAGATTCGAGGAGAATGGGCAGCCCACGCGAACGATATTGGAAACTTTCAAGAGAGTGGACTGCCCAAGTGAATACAACGCCATCCTGGGCAGGACGGCGCTCTACAAGCTGAGGGGAGCCGTCTCCATTTTCCATTATTCGATCAAGTTCCCGACCTCAGACGGGGAAAGAACCCATCGAAGAGATCAGAGAGAAGCACGTGAATGCGTCCTGACCATCCCGCGGACAGAAATCAATACGGCCAACTCCGCCCCTGAAGCCGGGATGAGTATAACCCTGTCCCGCGAAGGAGAAAAGGGCAACCGCATGCTGGGAAACCAGACAGGTTCGCCCCTCTTGATAACACCAAGTGCCGGCCTGGTCGCCAGAAACGCCGAGGTGGAAGTAGAAGCAGATGTCGAGGAAGACCATATGGACCCAGATACTGAGGTGATTCACCCCGGCCCGGGATACAACCGCATGCTGGAAATCCAGATAGGTCCGCTCCTCCAGGCTGGGACGAGTGCCGAGCAGGAGAGGGCTGGGACAAGTGCCGACCTGGACCAAGACAGAGGTCGAAGAGCCGGAAAGGAGTCGATCTTGGAGGAGGACGAGCTCGACCCCCGAACCCAATACGAAGAGAAGAGGGGCACCAAAAGGGCCGGGCCCATGGACGAGGTCGAGGTCATCTTCATTGACGAGGAGACCTGTCAAAAACAACTCCGGATCGGCAGTAAACTGCCAGCGCCATTAAAGGCCGAGCTAACCAGTTTTCTTCGAGAAAACGCGGACGTATTCGCGTGGACCCACGAGGACATGGTCGACATTGACCCGAAGGTCGCCTGCCACAGGTTGCAGGTCGACCCCACAGTCAGGCCGGTCGTTCAAAAGAGGAGGAGTTGGGCCCAGACCGGCAGCAAGCTCTCGAAGAAGAAGTGATCAAACTCAAGGACAATGACTATATTCGAGAGGTCCGGTACCCAACCTGGGTTGCCAACCCGGTACTGGTGAAGAAGGCCAGCGGGGCTTGGCGCCTTTGCATCAACTTCTCTGACCTCAACAAGGCGTGCCCTAAAGACAGCTACCCCTTGCCCCCACATTGACTATATGGTGGACGCCACCTCGGGGCATGAACTGATGAGCTTCATGGATACGTACTCTGGCTACAACCAGATCCCGATGCACCCGGACGACGTCGAGCACACCTCTTTCTACTCGGCACGCGGACTCTATTGTTATACCATGATGCCATTCGGGCTGAAGAATGCCGGGGCCACATACGAGCGCCTAGTTAATAAGATGTTTGCTAGTTTGATAGGTGTTAGTATGGAAGTGTACGTAGATGATACGTTGGTCAAATCTGTGTATGCATTCGACCATGTTAATGACCTTAATAAAATAATTTCTATTTTGCGTGATTACAACATGAAGTTAAATCCCAAAAAATGTACCTTTGGTGTCGGCTCGGGAAAATTCTTGGGCTACATCGTTAGCCAACGTGGCATCGACGCCAATTCCGAAAAGATCAAGGCCGTTCAAGACCTCCGACCGCCGCCTCAATCAAAGGGGTACAAAGCCTGGCCGGCAAGCTTGCCGCCCTCAGTCGATTCATCTCGAAGTCGACAGACCGGTGTAAGCCTTTCTTCGACGCAATTAAAAAGAATCATAAGTTCGAGTGGACTCCGGAGTGCCAGCAAGCATTGGAAGCTATCAAAGAAACCTTGTGCCGGGCTCCAACCATGCAGAAACCCAGGCCTGGAGAAACGCTCTTCCTTTATTTGGGAGTCTCTGACGTGGCAATCAGCGCCGCATCCGAGAGGACGAATCTTCCTAACATCCTGTCTACTACGTCAGCAAGGCACTCCATGATGTCGAGTTGCGATACCCGCCAATGGAGAAACTCGCGTTCGCCTTAGTGACTGCCGCGCGAAAATTAAGACCGTATTTCCTCGAATATTCAATAACCGTGCTCACCGCCTACCCGCTGAGACAGATTCTTCACCGACCTGACACGTCAGGCCGAATGGTAAAATGGGCGGTGGAGCTAGGGACTAAAATAGAACATATTCCCCGGACGGAGAATGTACAAGCCGACGCCCTCGTCCGTCTCGCCTCAAGTGCCGGGGTGGAAA